TGTGGCCAAATATCATAAATTGGAGATATATCGGCATATATTTAAATACTAAATCCAAAGTACAATTTAACTACTAAATTTTCAGTTAACACAGTTTCAGACCTTTCAATATTGTAATACGCAACTCAAAGTCCACGCAAGTGAGTTCAATTACCTTAGAACACCCTTTGATGAGACAAATTATTCTCCTTATCTCTTTCAAACTGTTACTCTTACTCTAACATATCAACCATTAGGCCATTCACTCCCACAATAGTTAAATTTACATTTTTTAACTTTTCTCTGACCAAACTTCTCTTTCACGTGACTTTACTTTTACTCTCTTTCTGTTCATCTGGTCACAGCTATTTATACGTCTATCACTTAGGCCTTCTTGAAATCTCTATAGCCTTGATATCAATGGATTGCAAACACAACATTCAATAGCCTTGACATCAATGAATTACAAACACAAAATTATTAATTAATAATACTACCTACACTAAACAGTCTTTATATCTGACAGGAATATAAAGTCTGAAAATTAGTGGTTACAGTGGACTTTATGAATCAACTTAAGTGGAGGTTGGGAGTTATACAAGTTTAGATAACTAGGTTGGGTTTTTATACTTTTATACAAGTATAATTTGTCTACTGTACTACTAATTAACTTATTCATTTTGGACTTTACTACTATAATGTGGGTTGGAATGCAACATAAGTGGTAAGGTTACCCCCAGTGGTAGGACCTTATTCTCATTTTTCTAAAGTCACCTTCCTACAACTGTCTGCAGGCAGTGAATGGTGATATAGATGGGGGACATTCTGGGCTTGAGCCCCCATAGCTTGTTCTCCTTACTTTTTCTTATTTTTGTTTGTTCTTCCTTAACATGTGATACTAGCAAACGGAGGTTAGATACGGTATTCCCACTGCAATGTGGGTCCTACTTCTGCAGTCACCCCCAAAACTCAGAACACATCTTATATCCCACATGGTGATCTTCTTAATTTATGTTATAGTTTTTTGTTAAGGCCTGTTTTGATAATTAAATATTTTTTAATCACAAGTTTGGGCTTTCTGTTTTTAATGCAGTGCTTCCTTTTGATGTTAATCTTTGCTTGACTATCACAACTATAATTTTGGGTTTATTTAAGTTATCAGGATAGGCCTTAACAAAAATCCATAATAAAAAAAATGCTGCATAAATTAAAATCATCAGGGCACAGGCTATGTTTTGAAATTAAAAACATTATACCCTTTTGGATTAAATAACAATTTTAATAACTCAACTACTTTAAGTTTGAGTAATGATTACTGTATTGCTAATTTGGTTTTCTTTTTAAATAGTTTTTCCCAAAAAATAAGCAAATATGGGGTAAGTGGAAAAATAAAATAAAATGGATTGATTTTCTAGAATTCTGTAGTAATTTAAATAATGTTTTATATTCTAGCACTAATATTTGTAAATTACTTCTAAAAAATATTTATCAACTTAATCTTCCTAATATAAGGGCATTAATTGATGTAATTAAAAAATTTAGTTTTCAAAATAATCATGCAACATCTACTTCTAAATATTGTGAAATATCAATTAAAAGTTAATTTATTAAACTTTGAAAAGAGAAACTTCAAAGAAAAATGTCATATCTGGTAATTAATTTTGAACATAAAATATTTAATAACAAATTTTTAAATCATTCATAAATCTATAAAAAATAACACTAAAGCCTACAGTTAGTTATAAATATGAAATTCCAAATCTGCCATGATTATACAACTTAAGAGTTTTTTAATTAACTTAAATGTAGACCAAGTAAATAATTTACATTGTGAATGTAAAACAGTATATTTATTGATACTTTTCATAAACACCCACTCTCCATACTTATTCATATTTTTTTCTTTATTCTTCTTTAACATGAGAGACCAGCAAAAATGAGGTTAAGACTGGTAGACAGTGTATTCACACTGCAATGTAAGATATAGTTCCACAATAACCTCCAAAACCCAGGACACATCATATATCCCACATTATAGCCTCTGCTCTGATGATCTTTTTAATCAATGCAGTGTTTTTATTATAGTTTGTTTTTGTTGTTGTTGTTTTTTTTTTGCTAAAGCTAAATATCTTTGTAACAATTATGTTTTCTGAACTGTTAATACGTTCTTATACAAGTAAAATGTTCAAAATACAGGGCTTGAAAAAAATGTATCAACTGAATAGCTGAGAAAAATATATTTTTTACTGAAAAATTGTCAACAAACCAACTGTTTAGCAGACAAGCAAGAAACTAGGCTAAAATGACAACATGAAACGTTCATAATAGCCATTACCTATGCATATGTACAGCACATTCCATGTTAGTAAAATGAAAAATTCCTCATCTTTCTGAAATTTCATTAAATGTATTAGGAATGTCATCTAAGTTCATAAATCTTTACTCACAAAAATAAAATCTTCAATTAAATTAGGTTTCAACAAGCGATAATAACCTCAAGATGTAAATAACAGTGGTGCCATCTCATTTTTACCATAGTTTTAAATATCATGTTTAAACACAAAACTTCTGAAACAAAAAAAAGGGGGGGGGGGAAGCTGAAAAGCAGTTGGCCAAATCTGCCCTCTTGCACAAATATTAATTATTTCATTTTGTTTAGAGCATGGAATATCAAAAAATGTAAGAAGAAACTGTACATTTTAAGTAATTATTTACAAATTGATAAGGGCAGCTAGTAACCTACATAAATCTCTGAATGAACTAGCTAGTATATTCATAACAAATTAAAGGTATTGCAGCATGGCAACATCATTTCATTTTTTACTCTATAGTACAACTACAACAGACTTTTGGTTCATTGAGTAACACAAAAGTTAGAAAACAAGAATAACAGTGTTTGGATGTTAAAAAATTAAAAAGACCTTCCCACCATCTTCAGAAGTGTGTTATCTATTCTATCTGCAAATATAAATTTTTTGCAGTTTCAATTTATAGGTTTTTAAATTCCAAACTTTTTATTTATCTTGTTTACTAGTTTTTTTTTTATACTCAGTTATGGGCAAATGATTACTTGATATGGTAGCTAACTTTATACATTGTAATGACAAGCTAGCTGATACTGTTCATGCTGAATTACTATAGCTATTGATTATTTGGTCACATTAGTTCAACATGTAAAATGTTAAGCTGCAGATGGAGAT